AAACCAGGACTTAAACAGGAATAAATCCGGACTAAAACAGGACTAAAAGAGGAGTAAATCAGGCATAAATCAGGTCTAAACCAGGTCTAAACCAGGTCTAACACCAGAACTAAACCAGGTCTAAACCAGGACTAAATCCGGACTCACAGTTGTGGAGATTGTCGATCTCGAGGACCATGGGGGGGTTGGTGCGTTTGTCCAGAATGTCCCGCCAGTCGATGGAGGCGACGTGACACAGCAGGTGATTGTGGGTGAACTTCACTCCTCCGTTCAGGATCTCTGAGGAAAAAACCCAAAACAGACCCGGGTTTGGGTTTCAGGATCAGAACCGGAACAAAATAAAAACTGAAAGTAAAACTGAAACGGGTGAAATGAAGGAAAACAGTTCTGCACACGGCCCATTCACGACCAACACCAGTCACTCTGTCTGCACATTCAGACCTGGTTTAGTCCTGGTTTCAGTCCAGGTTTAGTCCAGGTTTAGTCCTGTTTTAGTCCGTTTAGTCCTGGTTTAGTCCTGGTTTAGTCCTGGTTTAGTCCAGGTTTAGTCCAGGTTTAGTCCAGGTTTAGTCCAGGTTTAGTCCAGGTTTAGTCCAGGTTCAGTCCTGGTTTAGTCCTGGTTTAGTCCTGGTTTAGTCCAGGTTCAGTCCAGGTTTAGTCCTGGTTTAGTCCTGGTTTAGTCCTGGTTTAGTCCAGGTTCAGTCCAGGTTCAGTCCAGGTTCAGTCCAGGTTTAGTCCAGGTTTAGTCCTGGTTTAGTCCTGGTTTAGTCCAGTTCAGTCCAGGTTCAGTCCAGGTTTAGTCCAGGTTCAGTCCAGGTTCAGTCCAGGTTCAGTCCAGGTTTAGTCCAGGTTTAGTCCTGGTTTAGTCCTGGTTTAGTCCAGGTTTAGTCCTGGTTTAGTTCTCGTTGTTGAAACTTGCCGTGAGAAGTGATTTTGTCTCGTTTCCAACACAAACAAAGGTGAAGTCGTTTAAATCCAGGTTTAGACTTTTCCCCGTCAGACCTGGAGGGTGCGGCCCGACGCCCGAGGCCATGACACAAGAACCTGGACCAGATCCAGAACCGGGACTAAACCAGGACTAAACTGGGACTGAACCCTCGTCAGAAGAGCACAGGTCAAAGGTCAGAGACGACGTCGTGTTGGATTCATTAAAGATCAGATTTTATGGTTTGAAGCCAAAAAACAGAAGAACGATTCTCGTAAACACATGTTTGTGTCCGCTGACGTCACGCCGGGTTCTGCATGTATGTCTAGGGTGGAATGTACAGCAGTTACTACGGCGACAGTGCACACATCAACAAACGCTCCAAAAAGGTTTAAGAAAATCCCAAAGTGATTTTAAAGACTGATGTTCATGTTCGTGTCGTCGTCCTGTTCTCCTGTTTTTAAATCCACTATGTTCAAATAAATAATCAGAGAAATAAGACACAGTCTGAGGCTGAAGTGCAGCTCATTACACAAGAGAAAAAACAACTTCACCAAATACAAGAATCATAACATCACCTGCAGAGGAGAAAGACGTTTGTCCTACAGATACTGTTTGTTTGTTTGTTTGTTTGTTTGTTTGTTTGTTTGTTTGAATCACTTTTTTATTTTGGATCTGTTTTATTGTTTGGAAATATTGTTGTATTTATTATAATATATAATGTTGTCAGTGTTGGGGAGTAACAGATTACATGTACTGGAGTAATCAGAGTACAAATGATGAGTAACTGTATTCAGTTACAGTTACTGTTTCAGTGAGTGGTAATTGGATTACAGTTACTTTGTTGAAATAAATGGATTACACAGAGGGATTTTCCTGTTTTCACATTTTGGGCTAAACCAGGTCTAAACCAGGACTAAACCAGGTCTAAACCAGGACTAAAACCAAGTCTAAACCCAGATCCAAACCAGGACTAAACTATGTCTCAAACAGGATTTATGCGCAGACTGTGTCTCCTCCTTTTCTATCAATAATATTTTTTATTTGTTTCAGTAAAGTTTGGCTTTTTTATTTTCTTTTAGCAGATAAAACTTCTTATGTGAAGATTTCCTCATCTTTGCTTCTCTACAAATAATCCAAAGTAATCAGATTACATTACTAACTTTATGTAATTTAATGGATTATGTTACAAATTACATTTTGGGGAGTGTAATCTGTAATCTGTAGGGGATTACATTTGAAAAGTCACCTTCCCAACACTAACTCTAACTCTAACTCTAACTCTAACTCTATCTTGTGACTGATGTTTTTCAGAGGGACGTGTTTTACAGCTCAGGTCGTCTCACCTGTTGGACTCGGGTCAGTCGGGTCTTTCTGGTCAGATTGTGTAAAAATAAAACTCAGATTAAAGTTTGATTTGAACAGATCCTCAGACAGAACAGTGCCTCCTGTTAGCGTCACACACCCAGAGAACATGGACGACGTCAACTCAGAACTCCAACACCAAAAACCAGAGAGAAGATCTGATCTAGTCCTGGTCCGGTCCTGGTCTGGTCTTGGTCTTGGTCTTGGTCTTGGTTCTGGTCCTGGTCCTGGTCCTGGTCCTGGTCCTGGTCCTGGTCCTGGTCCTGGTCCTGGTCCTGGTCTCGGTCCTGGACTCACCTGTGAGGTTGCTGAGCTGCAGTCTGGTCCTGGTCTGGTCCTGGTCCTGGTCTTGGTCCTGGTCCTGGTCTTGGTCTGGTCCTGGTCCTGGTCTTGGTCCTGGTCTGGTCCTGGTCTTGGTCCTGGTCCTGGTCTGGTCTGGTCCTGGTCCTGGTCTCTGGTCCTGGACTCACCTGTGAGGTTGCTGGTGCTGCAGTCTGGTCTGGTCTGGTCTGGTCTGGTCTGGTCTGGTCTGGTCTGGTCTGGTCCTGGTCTGGTCTGGTCCTGGTCTTGGTCCTGGTCTTGGTCCTGGTCCTGGTCTGGTCTTGGTCCTGGTCTGGTCCTGGTCTTGGTCTGGTCTGGTCCTGGTCTGGTCCTGGTCCTTGGTCCTGGTCCTGGTCTTGGTCCTGGTCTGGTCCTGGTCTGGTCTTGGTCCTGGTCTTGGTCCTGGTCTTGGTCTTGGTCCTGGTCCTGGTCTGGACTCACCTGTGAGGTTGCTGAGCTGCAGTCTGGTCTGGTCTGGTCCTGGTCTGGTCCTGGTCGGTCTGGTGGTCTGGTCTGGTCTGGTCCTGGTCTGGTCCTGGTCTGGTCTGGTCTGGTCTGGTCTTGGTTGGTCTGGTCCTGGTCTTGGTCCTGGTCCTGGTCTGGTCCTGGTCTGGTCTGGTCTTGGTCCTGGTCTGGGTCTGGACTCACCTGTGAGGTTGCTGAGCTGCAGTCTGGTCACTCCGCTGACGTAGGTCTTGGTCTCTGCACTGTAGCGGTAGTTGGACAGCACCAGGAGCGAGAAGTGTCCCTCGTACAGAGACTGTCCCCGGACGAGACGCAGACGGGACAGAGGGACAACGGGGACTTCGTTCATCGCGATGAGGACGTAACCCCCGACCTCCTCGATCGACTGACGAGACACCACAGGGACTAACCACTACCATGCAAACAACGCACTTCCTGACTCTGGCACAGTCACGCTGTCCACACCTCTGCTTTAGGCTCAATATTTGAGCAGAAACTGGTCCTGGTCCCGGTCTGGTCCCGGTCTAGTCCCGGTCTGGTCCCGGTCTGGTCCCGGTCTGGTCCCGGTCTGGTCCCGGTCTGGTCCCGGTCTAGTCCCGGTCTGGTCCCGGTCTGGTCCCGGTCTAGTCCCGGTCTGGTCCCGGTCTGGTCCCGGTCTGGTCCCGGTCTAGTCCCGGTCGGTCCCGGTCTGGTCCCGGTCTGGTCCCGGTCTAGTCCCGGTCTAGTCCCGGTCTGGTCCCGGTCTGGTCCCGGTCTGGTCCCGGTCTAGTCCCGGTCTAGTCCCGGTCTGGTCCCGGTCTAGTCCCGGTCTAGTCCCGGTCTGGTCCCGGTCTGGTCCCGGTCTGGTCCCGGTCTAGTCCCGGTCTGGTCCTGACCCTGGCTCCGTGTCTGGGCCGAGTTCAGATGAAACGTGTCCTTCAGCGTCCACTGACCCTGAACCACCGACCAATCAGAACGCAGCGCCAGATCCTCACGATAAACCAGGACCAAACAAGAACTAAACCAGGACTAAACAAGGTCTAAACCAGGACTAAACCAGGACTAAACAACTAAACCAGGACTAAACAAGGTCTAAACCAAGACCAAACAAGAACTAAACCAGGACTAAACAAGAACTAAACCAGGACTAAACAAGAACTAAACCAGGACTAAACCAGAACTAAACCAGAACTAAACCAGAACTAAACCAGGACTAAACAAGGTCTAAACAAGGTCTAAACCAGGACTAAACAAGAACTAAACCAGGACTAAACAAGGCCTAAACAAGAACTAAACCAGGACTAAACCAGGACTAAACCAGGTCTAGACCAGGACTAAACCAGGACTAAACCAGGACTAAACAAGGTCTAAACCAGGACTAAACAAGAACTAAACCAGGACTAAACCAGGTCTAAACCAGGACTAAACCAGGACTAAACAAGGTCTAAACCAGGACTAAACAAGAACTAAACCAGGACTAAACCAGGACTAAACAAGGTCTAAACCAGGACTAAACAAGAACTAAACCAGGACTAAACCAGGACTAAACCAGGTCTAGACCAGGACTAAACCAGGACTAAACAAGGTCTAAACCAGGACTAAACAAGAACTAAACCAGGACTAAACAAGGTCTAAACCAGGACTAAACAACTAAACAGGTCTAAACCAGGACTAAACAAGAACTAAACCAGGACTAAACAAGGTCTAAACCAGGACTAAACAAGAACTAAACCAGGACTAAACCAGGTCTAAATAAGAACCTAACCAGGACTAAATGGGGTGTGGCGTCTCACCTGGAGGAAGCTCAGGTCGTGCTCGGGGAGGGTGTGGGTGATCTCCAGGTTTTCCAGGACTGTGGTGCAGTTGGCGAAAGTCCGGACCAGGTTCCTGTAGTGGTCCTCTCGGGTCCCGAGCTGGTTCAGCCGATTACTGCTGCCCTGGCACACTGAGAACACCAAACAACCATCAGACTACAACTCCCACAATCCCCTCTGAGAACAACAAACAACCATCAGACTACAACTCCCACAATCCCCTCTGAGAACACCAAACAACCATCAGACTACAACTCCCACAATCCCCTCTGAGAACACCAAACAACCATCAGACTACAACTCCCACAATCCCCTCTGAGAACAACAAACAACCATCAGACTACAACTCCCACAATCCCCTCTGAGAACAACAAACAACCATCAGACTACAACTCCCACAATCCCCTCTGAGAACACCAAACAACCATCAGACTACAACTCCCACAATCCCCTCTGAGAACACCAAACAACCATCAGACTACAACTCCCACAATCCCCTCTGAGAACAACAAACAACCATCAGACTACAACTCCCACAATCCCCTCTGAGAACAACAAACAACCATCAGACTACAACTCCCACAATCCCCTCTGAGAACAACAAACAACCATCAGACTACAACTCCCACAATCCCCTCTGAGAACAACAAACAACCATCAGACTACAACTCCCACAATCCCCTCTGAGAACAACAATCAGCTACAAACAACTGAAACAACCATCAGACTACAACTCCCACAATCCCTCTGAGAACACCAAACAACCATCAGACTACAACTCCCACATCCCCTCTCAGAACTCACTACAACTCCCACAATCCCTCTGAGAACAAACAAACCATCAGACTACAACTCCCACAATCCCCTCTGAGAACACCAAACAACCATCAGACTACAACTCCCACAATCCCCTCTGAGAACAACAAACAACCATCAGACTACAACTCCCACAATCCCTCTGCCCCAGCACATTGTGAGAAATAAATCAGTATCTTGATTCAGTCCTGGTTTAGTACTGGTTTAATCCTGGTCTAGTCCCGGTCTAGTCCCGGTCTAGTCCCGGTCTAGTCCCGGTCTAGTTCTGTTGTTGGAATGTGGTGCAGAGCTGAGAAACATCCTCTCTGTCAGAGACTGATGTTGGAGACTAAACCAGGACTAAACCAGGTCCAAACCAGATCTAAACAAGGTCTAAACCAGGTCTGAACTAGGACTAAACCAGGACTAAACCAGGACTAAACCAGATCTAAAACAGACACAGAAACATTGATCTTGTTTTGTTTGAGCGTAAAATGTTTTAAGTGTAAATCAATACAAATCCATAAAAGCACTTAACCCACATGTAACACCAGGACTAACCCAGAACTCAACCAGGACTAACCCAGAACTCAACCAGGACTAACCCAGAACTCAACCAGGACTAACCCAGAACTCAACCAGGACTAACCCAGAACTCCGCCAGGACTAACCCAGAACTAACCAGGACTAACCCAGAACTCAACCAGGACTAACCCAGAACTCAACCAGGACTAACCCAGAACTCCACCAGGACTAACCCAGAACTCAACCAGGAACCAGAACTCCAGACTAACCCAAACTAACCCAGGATTAACCAGAACTCAACCAGGACTAACCCAGAACTCCACCAGGACTAACCCAGAACTCAACCAGGACTAACCCAGAACTCCGCCAGGACTAACCCAGAACTCAACCAGGACTAACCCAGAACTCAACCAGGTCTGCTCCAGGTCTGAGGGCATCACACTGAACTCACAACTACATCTCCCACAATCCTCTGCTCTCAGCACAGACACAACAACAAGTCCTGGTTTAGTCCTGGTTTAGTCCTGGTTTAGTCCTGGTTTAGTCCTGGTTCAGACCTGGTTTAGTCCTGGTTTAGTTCTGGTTTAGTCCTGGTTCAGACCTGGTTTAGTCCTGGTTTAGACCTAGTTTAGTCCTGATTTAGTCCTGGTTTAGACCTGGTTTAGACCTGGTTCTGTCCTTGTTTAGACCTGGTTTAGATCTGATTTAGTCTTTGTTTAGACCTGGTTTAGTCCTGGTTTAGATCTGGTTTAGACCTAGTTTAGTCCTGGTTTAGTCCTGGTTCAGTCCTGGTTCAGACCTGGTTTAGACCTGGTCCAGATCTGGTTCAGACCTGGTCCAGATCAGACCTGGTTCAGACCTGGTTTAGTCCTGTTTAGACCTGGTTCAGACCTGGTTTAGTCCTGGTTTAGTCCTTCAGACCTGGTTTAGTCCTTGTTTAGTCCTTGTTCAGACCTGGTTTAGTCCTTGTTTAGACCTGGTTCAGACCTGGTTTACTCCTTGTTTAGTCCTGGTTCAGACCTGGTTTAGTCCTGGTTTAGACCTGGTTTAGACCTGGTTTAGTCCTGGTTTAGTCCTGGTTTAGACCTGGTTTAGTCCTTGTTTAGTCCTTGTTTAGTCCTGGTTTAGACCTGGTTTAGTCCTGGTTTAGTCCTGGTTCAGACCTGGTTTAGTCCTTGTTTAGTCCTTGTTTAGACCTGGTTTAGTCCTTGTTCAGACCTGGTTTAGTCCTTGTTTAGTCCTTGTTTAGACCTGGTTTAGTCCTTGTTTAGACCTGGTTTAGTCCTGGTTTAGTCCTTGTTTAGACCTGGTTTAGTCCTGTTTAGTCCTTTAGACCCTGGTTTAGACCTGGTTCTGTTTACTCCTTGTTTAGTCCTGGTTCAGACCTGGTTTAGTCCTGGTTTAGACCTGGTTTAGACCTGGTTTAGTCCTGGTTTAGTCCTGGTTTAGACCTGGTTTAGTCCTTGTTTAGTCCTGGTTTAGTCCTGGTTTAGACCTGGTTCAGATCTGGTTCAGACCTGGTTTAGACCTGGTTTAGACCTGGTTTAGACCTGGTTTAGTCCTTGTTTAGACCTGGTTCAGACCTGGTTTACTCCTTGTTTAGTCCTGGTTCAGACCTGGTTTAGTCCTGGTTTTAGACCTGGTTTAGACCTGAGTCCTTAGTCTGGTTTAGTCCTTTTAGTCCTTGTTTAGTCCTTTAGTCCTTGTTAGTCCTGTTTAGTCCTTGTTTAGACCTGGTTTAGTCCTTGTTTAGACCTGGTTTAGTCCTGGTTTAGTCCTTGTTTAGACCTGGTTTAGTCCTTGTTTAGTCCTTGTTCAGACCTGGTTTAGTCCTGGTTTAGACCTGGTCCAGACCTGTATTTCCTGGTGCAGTCGGGCGTCAGACGGTGGAATGAAGATGCACCGGTCTGAGTTCAGGGACTAAGTGTTTTCGATTCTTAACGAGATGAACTTTGTTTTTAGAGTCACAGGTTTTATTTTCTCGTTTGGACTGAACTGTGTCCAAAACCACAAACACGTTTTTACGATGTTCTAAACATTGTTCCAACAGAGTAAAGGTGTGTCCTAACGATTCTCCCGTCACGTCATCGTCTCGTTAGAGTTTTGTCTCTGTGTCTCTGAGGTTAGAGTTTTGTCTCTGTGTCGTTCTGAGGTTAGAGTTTTGTCTCAGTGTCGTTCTGTGAGGTTAGAGTTTTGTCTCTGTGTCGTTCTGAGGTTAGAGTTTTGTCTTTGTGTCGTTGTGTGAGGTTAGAGTTTTGTCTCTGTGTCATTCTGAGGTTAGAGTTTTGTCTCAGTGTCGTTCTGTGAGGTTAGAGTTTTGTCTCTGTGTCGTTCTGTGAGGTTAGAGTTTTGTCTCAGTGTCGTTCTGTGAGGTTAGAGTTTTGTCTCAGTGTCGTTCTGTGAGGTTAGAGTTTTGTCTCTGTGTCGTTCTGTGAGGTTAGAGTTTTGTCTCTGTGTCGTTCTGAGGTTAGAGTTTTGTCTCTGTGTCGTTCTGAGTTTAGAGTTTTGTCTCTGTGTCGTTCTGTGAGGTTAGAGTTTTGTCTCTGTGTCGTTCTGTGAGGTTAGAGTTTTGACTCTGTGTCGTTCTCTGAGGTTAGAGTTTTGTCTTTGTGTCGTTGTGTGAGGTTAGAGTTTTGTCTCTGTGTCGTTCTGAGGTTAGAGTTTTGTCTCTGTGTCGTTCCGTGAGGTTAGAGTTTTGTCTCTGTGTCGTTCGGTGAGTTTAGAGTTTTTTCTCTGTGTTTCGTGCGGTTGCCAGGTAACGGTTGTGGAATTCCCTGGTGCGGTGTCACGACTTCCAAACAGGAAGTGAAGTTTTAGGAGACTTTCCGACACGACGGAGAGACGAGCCGCAGCTTAAACCTCCTTCCTCCCAGCGGGTCCGACTTCCCCTCGACTTTTTCCGGTTATTTATTGGAAATAAGTTTAACAGGTGCCAGGGGAAAGTCACAGAACAACAAAAAAACCACAAACATTTATCTGGAAGAAGAATCAACGTCACCGAAGACAAACTAAAGAAAACTAGAGACTAACGAGGCCGAGACGAGAACAGGGACACTGAGGGTCAATGTGAACACGAACACAAAAAATACACTCAGATGTTCAGGAGGTTCAGGTGCTCAGGAGGTACACTTATACGTCCATGAGGTTCGTACGCTCCGATGTCCAGGAGGTTCGTACGCTCCCATGTCCATGAGGTTCGTACGCTCCGATGTCCAGGAGGTTCGTACGCTCCGATGTCCAGGAGGTTCGTACGCTCCGATGTCCAGGAGGTTCGTACGCTCGATGTCCAGGAGTTCGTACGCTCGATGTCCAGGAGGTTTCGTACGCTCCCATGTCCAGGAGGTTCGTACGCTCCGATGTCCAGGAGGTTCGTACGCTCCCATGTCCAGGAGGTTCGTACGCTCCCATGTCCAGGAGGTTCGTACGCTCCCATGTCCAGGAGGTTCGTACGCTCCGATGTCCAGGAGGTTCGTACGCTCCGATGTCCAGGAGGTTCGTACGCTCCGATGTCCAGGAGGTTCGTACGCTCCGATGTCCAGGAGGTTCGTACGCTCCGATGTCCAGGAGGTTCGTACGCTCCGATGTCCAGGAGGTTCGTACGCTCCGATGTCCAGGAGGTACACTCGGACGTCCAGGAGGTACGTGCGGAACTCAAAAGAGACAGAAGAACTCTGGACTCTAACATGAACCAAACGAACAACAGAACAGAAGAAGCGGGTCACACAGACGGAGGATTTCAGCGCCGATGTGACCGAGTGAGATCCTCCACACCTGAACTACTGGAACAGCTCCAAACACGACCTGGAGATGT